CTCTCTCTCTCTCTCTCTCTCACACACACACACTCTCTCTCCCCCCTCACACACACACACACACACACACACACACACACACACACACACACACACACACACACACACTTTCTCTTCCTTCCTTTTCCCACCAAGTCGGATGGGGTCCTTGCAAGGCCATCAGTACAGATACAACCGGCCCTTTGATGGGGACCAAACTGCTGATGCGGCCCCCGATGAATTTGAGTTTGACACCCCTGGTCTAGGGCTTTTGAGATTTGTGTTTTTGTGAAGGATAGGCTTAAAAACCTTCAGGCAGGCAGGCCCTTTACATCCGTGGTCCCCAACCTTGGGCCTCCAGATGTTCTTGGTCTACAACTCCCAGAAGCCTTCACCACCATCTCTGCTGCCCAGGATTTCTGGGAGTTGAAGTCCAAGAACATCTGGAGGCCCAAGTTTGGAGACCACTATTTTGCATGTTCAGCATGGTATGCCTCTAGCAAGGAGGAATACTGTAACAATGATAGAAGACAATCGGGAAGAGAGAATACAGAAATGGGAATGTTCAGAATTCCATGCCAGGTTACAGGTGGACCAGACTTCTTTGAGCTGTCTTCTGATTTGGAGGAAAGTTGCTTGAATTGCTGAGAGTGGGAACAAATCAAGTCAGTGGAATTGGTCTGTTGCTTGTGGAATCTTGTAACTAACAATGTATTGAGATAATCACAGAGAAAGCATTTGCAAAGCGAAATGTCCTCAGAGAAGACTGCTGGAAAAATATGAAACTGTGTTTTTACAAAGAGCTTCTGAAATAGTTTCTTGCTGGTTCATCCACTCTTTGGTTCCTTATGAGCATCACCATTATGTGGGTATATTTGGTGATCTGGTCTTTTATGTGTTTTGGTAAAAATCTTAAATATTATACATCAAATTACTTTGTTTTTGCCTCTTTGACAGTATTTAACAAAACTATTATTGTAGAAATAGTAGAAAGGTCACTTACCACATAAAAACCTTATATTGCTTTCCATCAGTGAAAAAATGGTTTGTGGCAGCATTTCTTTGCATCTTTATAGCAATAGGTCTTCGCCCACCATGCCACTTCCTTCCCATGCTCTTTCCCACTCAGACTCTTATGCTCAAAGGGCAAATGAAATAACAAGCCTGTCAGATTTAAATTCAGAATAGAAAATAATGGGCCCAGGGTGGGTGGCATCATGCTCTAAGCTGAGCTTTAGGAGGCAGAACCTTTTCCATAGAGAATATGAGAATTAGTGTTGTGAAAGATTGATGACTGATTTGTTTTAAAAACCTTGATCCGTCCTATCAGTTTTTGGTTAGGCATCATAGCCAGAAGTTGACATTGTATGTGGGGCAGGAACAAGTATATCTTAAAGGCTAATTTGTTCCAATGTCACAGTGATATTTGTGCATAATCAGAGAGATTGAGTTATTATTTTCCAACTGACAAGTAGTATTGGCTAAGAAATGAAACTTGTGAACCATGCAGGCTCTTAAAACAGTGCTGTAGTTCGTATGGTTTGCCTTAGCAGTCAGATGTTGGGTGTTATTTAGAATAGAGATCTTGATTACTTCACCTTATAAGAAAACTCCACTGTGAATATGGAATTCATCTACCTTTAGAGATGCAGAGTGACTACATTCATTAAGATAGTGGAAAGAAGCTGCGACATCTACTCTTGTTTACACTTGCTAACTTTATCTAGAATTTATATATTTTGGAAATGCTTCTGTGAACCAATAATTTTTCTGTAAAACATGAAAATGCTTTTTCTGACATGTGGTTGTTTTTCCTTTAAAAGCTTGGTAAAATGCGGCTAGCAATACCCTGCAGGTCTCTGACATGTTCACACTTGCAGTGTTTTGATGCCACTTTGTATATTCAAATGAATGAGAAGAAACCTACCTGGGTTTGTCCTGTCTGCGACAAGAAAGCACCCTACGAACATTTAATAATTGACGGGTGAGTACCTTTTGGAAGCCAAGTAGAAACTAGGCATAGCACTGTTTTGAAGGCGTTTTTCTACCCCTAAAATTATGAAATTGCTGACATGCATGTTCCACTTTTACATGACCAGTTTCATATTCTAAACATTTCTTGTTTGACTTAAGTTTCTTTGCATTTCTAAGTGATAATTAAGCAGGATCTTTTTTCATAGGTTGTTCATGGAAATCTTGAAGTATTGTACAGACTGTGATGAAATTCAGTTTAAAGAAGATGGGTCATGGGCTCCTATGAGATCAAAAAAAGAGGCACAAGAGGTGTCTGCGTCTTTCAATGGTGTAGAAGGTGAGCATACTACTAACTTCCTGAACTGCTGTTCCAGCCATCTAAGCTTTTTCATTTTTCCTTTACCTTAGCAACTTCAGTGCCTTGAAAATTCATGGTTCATAAGTGCACCTGTGATGCTTGCCTTCATCGTAATGAAGACTATACTTGAGAAGTGAACTACAGCATTTTGTTGATATATTTCTAGGCTGCATAAATTCTGCTGTGGATCATCAGGTATCTTCCCATCAGTCAAACAAAAATAAGAAGGTTGAGGTGATTGACTTAACAATTGACAGCTCATCAGATGAAGATGAAGAGGAGCCCTCTATCAAGAGAAGCTGTCCTTCCCTGTCTCCTGCATCCCCCATTAACAACAAGAGGTGAGCAGGCATAATAGTGACTGGGTATGTTTGAAAAGACATGTTGTAGTCCAGGTTCTAAATGCAACATGCATCTAGATTTGCTGTTTCATTTTCTGAAACTTTAGATCACAAGCCCTTTCTGGTCTAAATAACTGTATTTTTCTCACAGATCATTATTATAGACCCTGCTGATCTTTTCTTTTCCCAGAAAATGTGGTGTTTATTAAAGATGGGCACAAATCAGAAAAAAAATGTGATTCATTTTGATTCATTATTTGTCAAGGTTGATGAATCACGAATTACAGATTTACAATTTTTTCCTGATGAATCGACAAATTGATATTTGTTTTTGCCTTTAAACCTTATAAAATCCACCACCACCACCACCCCCAGCACCTAGAGACTCCAGATTCACAGAGAAGCTTCCCCTCAGTCTCCTCTACAATCCCTGCAGGTTAGGTGAAGTTTTGATTTAGGAAGTCTTGAGTTATACAGTGGAGTCTCAACTTACGGTTGGCTCCACTTATGTACTTTTCGACCTACGGACTTCTCCGACCGCAAAATTTAACTTCGACTTATGGCTGGAGAATCGACCTACGGACCAGAAGGGGGAGGCGGGGAAAGTGCCAAATCCAGTCCTTAGGCCGTAGGTCGTGCCTCGGGATGCCTTGCAGGGCTTCTCTGCCACCATAGGAGGCATCTCGGAGGTCCCCTCAGAGCCACTATCGGCGGCGGGAGGGACCTCCGAGACGGCGGCGAAGCCCTGCAAGGCATCCGGAGGTCCCCCTGCCGCTGCTGGGAGCCGAGCAATGCTGGGCAACCCCAGCCATGGTCAGACTCCCAGGAGTCCAAACATGGCTGGGGGTTGCCCGGCGCAGCTCAGCTCCCAGTGGTGGCAGCGGCGGCAGCAGGGTGGGTAGGGGCCTCCGGATGCCTTCCGTTTCTTCTCTGCCTGGAAGGCATCCGGAGGTCCACCGCCGCTGCTGGGAGCTGAGCCATGCTGGGCAACCACAGCTATGCTTGGACTCCCGGGAGTCCGAGCATGGCTGGAGTTGGCTGGCGCAGCTTGGCTCCCAGCAGCAGCGGCGGTGGCAGCAGTGTGGGAGGTCTCCGAATGCCTTCCATTGCTTCTCAATATTTCAAAAATTGCTAAAAATCAATAATTATGTCAGGAATTGTAGAGAAGAATCAGAGGAAGCTTCCCTGCAATGTTGGTGTCTCCAGGTGCCTTAGGGGCCATTTTATATCAAAATTAATCAATAATTCAAATATTGCTAAAAATTCATTGATTCATATTCTTGGAGGCATTGATTAGTATGAATAGAATTGATGACAGCGATTTTTGAACAAATTTGGTGGCTTTTTTTAAATGCATGCCCATCTCTGGTGTTTATGTACTATATTTTAAAAGACAGTTTCCTGGAATTAATTTTGGCTTTTAGCTTGGGGTGTTTTGTGGAAACTAGGTAACACATCTGATCATACCAAGCTCATCAGAGTGCAAGAAGTATGAGTAGATGTGAGTTTTTCAGGTAATGAGTATTTACTTCAAAAATTCAGCCTTAAGAATCTCTTCTGACTAGATGGCACAAGAGGGCAGTTTGGAATATACAGTATCCTTTAGTCTCGGATTCTGTGAAGAGGAATCCTGAAGCAGTCAGCTCCCTGCCAACAATTTATAGCTCCCATTTATAGCTGGGGGAAACAGAGACACCAGACTGGGAAAATGAAAGCAAGAAAGATTTGAATTCACAGCTTTCATGAATATATTAAAGATAGCAAAGATATTTTATCTTTGTTATTTCACCATTAAGGATATTTCTGAATGCCACAGAAAGTTCTTTCAATTTGCTGTTTCACCACATGAGTAAAACTGGCATCCTAGATTACTGTATCATACGCTACTTGCAGTTCTGGGAAAAAGGCCACTCATTTTCCCTTTTAATCTTAAACAGCCATCTTCAAGTTTTGACACAGGACTGTGTCACAGTAATTAAATACGAGGTAATGAGTATTTACTTCAAAACTTTACTTTCAACCCTAGATCAACTAGAGGTTGATCAACTAGTGGTTGATCTAGGGTTGAAAGAGAGATGCACCTGTGGATGTTTAGCTGTCAACTTTGGATTTGCACAAATCAGAATTGGTTCCCTCTTTGGTTCTACCCCCAGAGAAAGTATGGGGAGCTGGAAGGAGAGCAAGAGGTGCAGAGCATGAGGCCTTGAAAGGTACTCAGAAGGGTTGTGCATGACACCTGTATGTTTTTTTTTAAAGTCTAGCTATATGTGGACAGTTGCCAGGAAGTGATGTGGGGGGGGGAATCATTTGGAAAAACACTAGTACTAAATATCTAGTTCTATACTGTATGTTTATGGCTTCTCACTATTTGGGAGACAGATGAAACCAACTGTTCTGGGACTACTAAACTGAAGACATTTTCTTCTTCTGCTGCTTAGTGTTTTAGGTCTGCCACACCAAGTCTCTCCTGTTTCAAGAACCCCAAGCCTTCCACCTGTTGACACAAGCTACATCAACACGTCACTTATGCAAGACTACAGGCACCCGTTTCATATGACGCCCATGCCTTATGACCTCCAAGGTACATTCTTGATTCTGGCTGAACAAAATAAAGAAGTTGACTGAATTATTGATTAATTTTGATATAAAATGGCCCCTAGGGCACCTGGAGACACCAACATTGCAGGGAAGCTTCCTCTGATTCTCCTCTACAATTCCTGAAAGTTTGGTGAAGATTGGTTTTCAGATGTCTACGTTATACACCCACAAAGAGCCCCCAGAAAGCTTCCCCCCAGCAGCTAGACGCCCCCAGAAAGCTTCCCCCCAGCAGCTAGGCATACCAAATCACAGAGAAGCTTCTGCTGACTCTCATCTACAGTTGCTTCAAGTTTGGTGAAGTTCAAGATTTGTTTTCCCCAAACCAGATGCTAATGGACTGGGAGGCCATCTTTGTGGGTGTATAACTGAGACATCCAAACCCTAATCTTCACCAAACGTGGAGATATTGTAGAGGAGAGCAAGGGGAAGCTTCTCTGTGCTTTTGGTGTGTCTAGGTGCTGGGGGGTGGCTGTCCTTGTGGGTTTATAACTTGGACCTCCGAAACCCAAACTTTACCAGACTTGCAGGGCTTGTGGAGGAGATGAACGTCTCTGAAAATTTGGTGTCTCTAGGTGCGGGGGGCATTTTATAGGGTTTTTAAGTCAGCAAAAAACTGATGATTCATTGATTCATCAGAAAAAAAAATTAAACTTGTAATTTGTGATTTGTCAACCTTGATGAATCACAAATCAAAATGAACACCATTTTTCTGATTTGTGCCCATCTTTCCATATAAATTGTTTAATCTTTATCTTATTATGTTTTTAATTCTATTTATTTTAAATATTGTGAGCAGCCTTGAGTCTCCTTATCAAGAGAAAGATGGCATATAACTAAAACAGACAAACAAATAAAATTGAAACAACTATTTGGCAGAATGTATTGTTGCCACTTAAAAGACAATGCTGTGGTTGTAATTATTTGGAGATACCATCATTGTTCTTCTGGACATGTACTGAGATCTTCATCCACATAAGGAGATACCCGCAGCCTTTCTGAATGCTTAGGGCTGGATTGATCAATTTGTCTGTGTTGATCCCACGAGAGAAAGGAGCCACCACTCAAAATACACTTATCGTACTTCAGGATCATAAATAAATCATGAAGTCCATCTTTTATGTAGTATTGGCTCCAGTTGATCGACGTGTGTGTAGTGAATAATTTCTTACCTGCGGTTATTCAAGTCTTAAAATGCTATGATTGTTTGTGCTATACTCTGGATGTAGTTCTTTGTTATTTGTGGGTGTTTCCTTTGTGAAAATAACAGTCTTTTCATTCTGCTTTCCACAGGGTTGGACTTCTTCTCTTTCTTACCAGGAGACAATCAGGTAAGCTCTCAGTGGAAGGGAACAAATAATGCAAGGACAGTTTTAAAGTAAATAAGCAATAAACTCCTATATAAAGAACATTTTCAAATCCTCTGTAGGAGCGCACTAATACATTCATTTTCTGTTTGTGAACTCCTTATGAGCATTTGACTGGCACTATGGGGACTGACTGCTGGACTAGATCAGTTTTTGATATGATCCAGCATAACTGCTGTTTTGCAAATGCCAGACATTCTAAAATCAATTAAAATGATTATACATCATTTTTTAAATGTTGGAAGTATACAGTAGCCATTGGATAGATGATGTTTCTTTATTCCTCATAGATAGAATGAATGATGGAGACTGCACTTTCCCCTCCTTTTTATGGGAATCTCTTCATTACAGTTACTGTTCACTGATGCTGTAGTATCATGTTCTGATAGCTTGAAATCTCTCTTTATATCTTTGGTTTAAATGGACAATGCAGAATGGCAGTTATGGGATTAATATGGTGATTTTCTGCATACATTTTTGGTGGAACACATCTAATCCCAGAATGTGTTTCTCAGAGGGAAACTGGACAGCATACAAACGCCCTAAAGAGGTCAGATGTATAATAACACATATCTGAAATCCAGTTGCTTAGCTGTGTATGCATAATGCAAAGCTGTGGAAGTGGTAGAAAAAAATCTGACAAGGCAGAAGTACTATTCACAAAGCATTTCTGCTCACATGTAGCATAACCGTTGCAACACAGATAGTGCAATCGATTGCGTAACTGCAACGTGAACCAAAGAAGCACTGTTTGACCCTGTCTCCTGGCACACTTTATGTTACATAACTTTATGTTATGTCAATTTGAAAAGAATTTCAGCCATTGTAAGATTCAAGACCTATCTCTTTTAAGAGACAATTATTTCTGCTTTGTGGCTGTGTGTTGTACAAAGCAGAGAAGTTCTGCTTTGTACAATAAATCAAAGATTTTGCATTATTATATTATTTGTATCACTGTTAGATTTTTTTTTGTTTTATACAGTGGATTTTCCCCCTTTTACCATAATTTGTTCAGTAAAGTCAGGCTTTTTTCCTTAACATTGGTATTTTATGTGTTCATACAGATAAATGTTGCAAACAGAAAAACTATTGGGTTAAAGTGGAAAAGTATGTTTGAAGGCATATCCTCCAAGTCAAGGAAATTCAGAGCACATAATCAACTACCACCTTCCTCACTTAAAACATTGATGCAGTCTTTATATGGGTATCCAGTAGAAGTAGTAGGAATAGATAGAGTAATGGACTAGAAGTCACGAGACCTGGGTTTGATTCCCAGGTTCTACCATGAAAACCCATAGGGTGTGTGGAACTAGTAAAACCACACCTTAAATCTCTTACTTACCTTGAAAACTCTATTAAGGTTACTATAAATCAGTTCAGACTTGATGGAATATAACAAATTTTTGCATCTCAGGAAAACAAAAAAGAGATGCTCCAGTAAAGAATCTAAGTGACTGCTTTATCTTAAATTGCATTTTATTTATGTTTCCTATTTATTTTGCACACCATAGTTATTTATGTACCATCAAGTTGGAAACAATTGATAGCAACTTGAATTACAAGACAATTATTTAAGGAATGGTGTTTTCATTTCAGCTTTTCCACACCATTAGAGAGGAAATGGGATGGCTAGTGCAATTGTGCTGTAGTGTTTATTTTGGAGTAGAGATTAAGGCAAGGGTCCCCAGCCCGCGGCCTGCTGGCAATCGATCCATGGCCTTTACAGGACTGGGCCACAGAGACAGATCTCTCACCCCCCACGCACTCCCCCCACACATGCCCACATGCATGCACAGCTCGCCCACCCACACAAACGGGCCCCCTACGTACCCACACATGCACACAAGCGTGCCCCACTCATCTGCAAACACATCACGCCCACCAGCAAGTGTGCCGGCTTACCCACGAGCATGCTACACCCATGTGCAGAAGCGCCCCTGCTCACCTGTGCATGCGTGCGAGTGCGCCTTGCCCACCTGCGAGCAGGAGGTGCCCCCTGCAAATGGACCCAACCCTCCCAACCAGTCCATGGTTCAGAAAAGGTTGGGGGCCACTTTAGGTACAAGATTAAGGTTCATTAATGTGCCCATGTTTTGAATAAGGATGGCAAGGGAATGGACTTAGATCTGTACCCAGAATTTACTTGCTTTGCAGGGCACAACTGTAGCCACAATTTATTTTGCTTTACATCTAATAGGGTCGTCCCCCCCAACCACAGACAGACACTTTTGTGTATGTGGAGTTCCAGCATTGAGGGCATCTAACTGTGCATAGTGGAGATTAGATTACAAAATACTGTGTCAATTTTCTTTTGTAGAAAAGGACTGGAGATGTTTATTGTCAGTGAAGTTCAGCTGTTCTATCCAACCCAAGTCCTAGTTCCTCCCCATTCTTCTTACTCAGCAGTATTCTTAGAGAAAAGCTAAGTCTCCATCCCTTTCCAGTAAAATCAATACTGATTTTCTCAGGGTGCCCAGATTTGGGTCTGAGAAGTGTCAGTCTACTAATAAATCACTTCTTTTTTCTTGGTGGTACAGATGTTTCAGTGTGCCAGGATGGTGTTACCCATTGGCTGTGGTCTTGCAGGGCCTTTTCATATAGACATGGTCCTTCCTCCCTTGTACTGCCCTGGAATCTGCTTTATGTGTGCTCAAATTCTGCAGTCACATTTAATGCCCTTCCAGATTGGGTCTTCTTGTAGAGCAGTAGGAGAAACATGCCCTAGCACCACTTGTAAACGTAGTTCTCTAGTGCCTCACAGCTGCCTTTTTCCTTCTCCCAGCATTACAGCACTTCCCTTCTGGCTGCTGCAGCTGCAGCCGTATCTGCTTCAGATGATCAAGAACTCTTGCACTCCCGGTTTTTCCCATATGCTTCATCACAGATGTTCCTGGATCAGTTAAATGCAGGAGGGAACACCCCGCTTCCAACCACAAATGGCAGCAACAGTGGCAGCAACAGCAGCCTTGTGTCATCCAACAGTCTGCGAGAGACCCATGGCCACCCTGTTGCCAACAGAAGTAGTACAGATACAGCTTCTCTCTTCGGTGTGATCTCAGACATCATTTCCTTGGACTGAGTTGTTCTGCTATGTTTCCGAACTTCCTGGATGAGAGATTTGGGGTTTTGTTTTATCTTATTTTGTTTAGAAGCGCAGAAGAGTTTTTCCTTTTTGTAGGGAAAACTATTAAGATGTGTACAGAGAACAAAACTATATTTTCAGTTCTACTTTTGTATATAAACAGAAGATGGTTTAACTGGTAAAACAAACAAAAAAATTACAAAAAAACAACAACAACACACTCAACCCTCCACCCCTAGGTGGAGTATTTTGTTTTGTTTTGTTGTTTATTGTTTTGGATGCAGAAGATTTTACACCTTCCTTTTTGTCCTTGAGTGCTTTTTTAAAAACACTTCAACTTTTAACTGCTTAACATTTTGTTTGTTCACAGTGATACTAATGGCAAAGGTTTTGAGTTTTTGAGGTTATGGGTTCAAGGGACTGCTGCTTCTGGAGAAAACAGATAACAACATGGGGAGGGAGCTTTTACTTCTTTGGGGCAGAATCTGCTGGTTTCCTACACAGGTTCTATTGAAAAAAATCAATCATGTGACAGTAGGCTGGGTCTTCCTAAGTTTTTTATCTTTTTTATTTATACTGAAAGTATAATCTTCAGTTTGCATAAATTCCATAGCATTCTCTGTGTGACACCTGGCTGTAGCTTTTTGGAATGTACTTTCATTTCTAATTTATTTTTTTTCTGAAAATCAGTTCTAAACTTCCTGGTTTCATCATCAGACATGGTACTGTTTTATTAGCATATATCTTGAACAAATTCCACTGAAAAGCTTTGCCAGTTGAGGTCTCTGCTGTTTTACATAAGACAAAAAAGTTTCTTTGTCATGAAGCCTAACCCTCTGTTGGTATGGTAACTTTGTACAAAATCTGGTTTGAAATTGTCTGGGGTAGAATTTGCCTTGTTTAAAATGAGATTTCCTTATGTGCAGTGGGAGAGTGCTGAGAAAACACAACCAATTGCACATAGGGCTGTTGTGTGTGGCTGAAATCAAGAGGATTATGCCCCTAGAATCTAGTTTTTAATATTCAAGTAAAGATTCACTGTACTGTGGTAATTCAGCTTTGACCTGATACTTAAGTATATATTTTAAATTCCTCCTAGATTTACTGAAAATCATTTGGTTTGTTGAATTTCTATGGTTTACAGTGCAATCCAAATAGTCCTATCAGTACTTAAAATACATAATGTAATTTGAAATCATATTTTGGAGCTAACAATGACAGTAAAATATGTTATTTTCTGCAAGCATATTTGAACCATATGGTCACATTCTATGCATTTTTCTTGGGAATAAATCCCACTGCATTCAGTTGGATTGGTTTCTAAGTAAGCATTAATAGGGTTGGGCTACATAAGTAGTCCAACACAATTCTCTTTAAATTATGACTATAAAAGTACTTCCCTTTCTTGCTTCAACTGGAGCAGAATGTAAAAATAGTGTAGATGAGTGTAATTTTCTCACTCTTAGCAGCTGAATGATTAGTGAATGACTTTATCATTCTCCCCTCTGCCACCCACTCATCCTCCAGCTGTCTAAGGCTTCCGAAGCTATGTTTGATTCTTGTTTAACTTTGCAGGTTTTCCTACCTTAAAACAAGCATTCCTTGTTAGAAAATTGTCATTCCAAAATTGGCAGATTACTTAAGTGGTTTGTTATTAAACAAGAAAGTATGTAAGTAGAGACAGTGGAGCATTTTTTAATAACAAATATGGAAAAGTAGGAGAGGCTGGGTAGCACTTTTTATTAATCTCAAAGCCTGCATTGGATTGTATGTTTGCTTATCCATAGGAAGTGTTTTGTAGCTAGCTTTTAATATCTGCCATTGTGAAAGACTCAGGAACAGATGGGAAGGGAAGAAGTGAAACCAAGCAAGTTTGTCCTTCATTTAATGAAAAACTTAGTTTCAATCATGTATGCACAAATTGGTATTTTTTAAAACAAAGTTTTGTTTTGAAAGCTACTTTTCCCCTGACATATTGATAACTATCAACCTTTAATCATAAATTATATTTTTTCTTTGTGGCCTCTGAATGCACACAATTGGGTTGTTCTGCGCCTGTGTAGGACCTCTCGGAGGTTTCTAGAGTTTAAAGACATGTGATTAGTGGGACGTTCCCCCATGGAGCACGTGCTCTGACCGCCAGAAGTACCCCCAGTTCCTTTTAGCCACCGCTTAGGTTAGACCTATTTCGGAGAGAGCTAGAGCAACTGAGCATTTACTGTGATCGGTAGTTGCTTCTTCTAATATTTCAATCACTTTTTTGTTGGACGTTTCCCTTCTAAATGGATTTGTTCTACCTTTGATTCGATTCAGTTTTTTTCTCTTTCCCCCATTTTTGCCAATTTCTCCCCTTCCCCTTCATTTTCCCTCCAATTTTCCCTTGTCTTTTATGCCCCCCCCCGGCCTTTCAAGTGGTGCATACTTTGTAATAACAAGATCCCGCTCACTGATGGCCATGACTGTTGCCTTTTCTGTCTTGGGGAACAGCACCAAACACTTTCTTGTCCCGAGTGTAAAAGGCTCACGAAGCCTGCACTTAAACTGCGACTTCAGAGGCTGCAATTTTATCTTTGGAAGAAATCCCTCAATCCAACTTTGGTCGCCATGGACTCTGCACTGTCCCCATATTGTCGACCTGATCACCAAGAGCCTCCTAGACCGGTCTCTAGTCCAGTGACGACAACTCACAAAGCAGAGAAGTCGAAGTCTACCTCGAGACGAAATCGACATTGAGGACCTCAGCTCTGTCAACTGAATCAGCTAAAAAGAAAAAAGATTACTTCAAAAAAGCCTAAGAAAAGAAATCATCGAAATCTACTCAGATTCAACCACCCCAATCGACGCTTCCATCCCCAATTTTGGAGAAACGGTCTAGAGAGGCCTCGGGATCAATGTCAGACAGAGATGAACCACCTCTGCTTCCGACCCAGGTTCCAGCTTCCACTGGTAGCTTGTTGCCAAATATTGGCCTCTCTCCGGCTGACGTTCACTCCAGCCAGGCCTCGGCCCATTCGACCCCTGCATCATCAGGGCGGGCAATTCTGATTCAAATCTCAGGCTCAGACTTCTCTCATCACTTCCCTCGAAAACACCGGGCAAAGAGACAACACTTGTCACCAATTCAGTATGACCCTACACACTGAGATTACTATTACTACCCAGGATCTTCTCGGTATCAACCACGAGAAGATCGCAAAGATCGATACTAACAACAATATGATCCGTATTTCCACGAAGATTTACCAGAACAGATTTATTGCACCAAACCGAAGAGAGTCCAATATGCTTTGCTGTATCCGCCTCGATACTCACCTTGTGTGTCTCCATCACCACCACCATCACATCACTCATCACACTCGACATTGACTCACCAGATCCCGCTTGCTATCAAGCTGGCCCTCATGCGCACTACTTCATCATTGGAACAACCACAGTCAAAGCGTTCCAAGCATTCTTGTAAACATCGACCCCCTCAAAACACATCTCTACATGTTACGACCTCCTGATACGGAAGGGTACTCTATAACCCAAGTACCCCCTAAACAAGACTTTCAAGGGAAGACACCTATGCTTAGCCTTACCTTCATATCTGCTATGCTAGATTTGATTAAAGAATCATGGGACAAACTCCCTTCATTATTACAGATTTCAAGACATTTGGGAAACCAATTATTGTATAAAACCCATGGTCCGGACACTGCCTTTTTATCCAAACATCCGACACCGAATTCAATTATTGTGGAATCCTATCAATCGAGAGCTCGCAATAAATCATCAGTTGCGCCTACCAAGAAAGGGAGGGAACAAAGTTAGATATTCTGGGCAGACATCTTTACTCCCTCACTTCATTTTTATGCAAGTCGTCAACTATGAAGCCATCATGGGAGCTTACCATAGGCAACAATGGAATAAGATCCTCCCTGTTATTCAAGCAGCTCCTGAGTCTTCTAAGACTGAAGCCCTAAATATTCATGCTGAGGCTTCTACAGTGGCCAAACAGCAAAGAATTGATTCCCGCCACACTACTGATGCTTAGTCTAAGGCGATGGCTACATCTATTGCCTTTAGATGCCATGCCTGGCTTAGGTCTGCTGGCATATCTGATGACACCAGATTGAGAATTGAAGACCTCCCATCGACGGTGCTGGCCTTTACAACGAAAAAAGTAATGAACAACCTTCATAAAATTCAGAAAACAACTCAATCATATTCCACCCAGCAAACTTTTCAATACCAGCGTCCCCAATACTGCAGACAGTCCTTTGCCCAACAGCCATTTCAGCCATTCCACCAACCATACCATACATACAACCCACAAATGCAGGATAGACCTTATTTTGGCCCATCAACAGCCATTTCAGCCATTCCACCAACCATACCATACATACAACCCACAAATGCAGGATAGACCTTATTTTGGCCCATCAATGTCTACCGCACCATCCTTTCGATCCCAGCAACAGCAACCACGTCGACAACCCTTTCAACACCAACAGAAGAAAGGTAAGCAGTTTCAATAAACCCCTTCCATCTTCTACCACTATTTCCACTCCGTTTCAAACCAGGTTCTACCCTTTCCTCAGTGCATGGCGCTGAATTACCAAGAATCAATGGATCCTTTCGATTATCGTAAAGGGCTATTTCATCAAATTTCAGCATACTTCACCTTTCACTGTCATTAAAACAATTCCCCACTCATTGGCACTTCAGAAGAAATTTCCCTTCTCCAAAAACAAGCCATACACTTTGTCCCTTCCTCTGCCCTGCATGATGGTTTCTACTCTAGATACTTCACTGTACCGAAAAAGGACGGAGGACTCTTCCCATCCTTGACCTTAGAAACCTCAATAAATTCATTAGGCCTAGACGTTTCGGAATGCTGACACTCGACACTATCATTCCTCTCCTTTCACAGGGAGACTGGTTTGTTGTCATCCATCTCCCAATATGCGTATTTTCACATCTCTATCCATCTGAGTCACCATAAATTTCTTCAATTCCAATTCGAAGGGATCTCATACCAGTTCTGTTCTCTTCCGTTCGGATTCTCCACAGCACCAAGGACCTTCACCAAGTGTATGGCACCAGTTCCTGCCTACCTCCGCCTTCAGGGAATCAATATATTCCCTTATATAAATGACTGGCTGATAGTCTCTGCTTCCTACTATGATGCCATCAGAGCTACCCAAATTACTCTCAACACTCTTCAAGACCTCAGTCTCAAGGTGAACCATGCCAAATCCCATCTTGAACCATCACAGACAGCCACCTATATAGGGGCATAGTACTTCGATTCCCTACAAGCCAGAACCTTTCTCCCTTACGAGAGAATAATCAAACTCAAACAGGCTATACAATCATTCTGACCTCATGATTCAGTATCAGCTCATCAAGCCCAACACCTCCTCAGGCTCATGGCTTCCACTACCGCCATTATTTAGCATGCCAGGTTAAAGATGAGGTCTCTTCAGTCATGGTACCTCTCCCTATTCGACCCCATGACACATCACCCATCCAGACACCTCAAGGTCACAAGCAAACTAGCCCAGCAATTTACATGGTGGACATTTCTCCCACATCTTCTTGTCAGAAGACCCTTCTCGCCTGTCCAGCTCACGATACAGTTTACCACAGATGCCAGCCTGTTGGGATGGGGCGCCCACTGTCGGTATCACAGGATCCATTGACTCTGGACAAAACGAGCAGTAATTACACATCAACCACCTAGCGCTCTTAACTATTATCAAAACTTTCCACGCATTCCTACCCATCATTACAGAACACGCAGTCCAACTTGCAATGGACAATACAACAGCTCTTTATTATGTCAACAAGCAGGGCGGTATATATTCCCTTTCCTTACTGTACCAAGCTGTCAAGCTCTGGGAATGGTGCTATCTTCACCACATCTTCCCAGTAGCAGTCCATATTGCTACAGACGATAATCTGCTTACAGCCCATCTCAGTCGCCTTACTACAAGGACGCACAAGTGGTCTCTAGACAGCAAAGTCTTCACCCTTCTTTGCCATCGATGGGGACTCCTTCCGTCAATGTTTTTGCTACCAAGAACAATAGCAAATGCCCACTATATTGTTCCTGCACAAATATCGGCAGAGACTCTCTCGGAGACGCTTTCATGATAAGATGGGACAGCGGACTCCTCTACCTATTCCCACCAATCCCACTGATACAATGCACCATCATTCAGCTTTGACAGTTTCAATCGGATGCGATCCTTCTTGCCCCATGGTGGCCATGACAACTGTGGCTCACCCACCTGAGGTTGATGTCGAGCGACCTCCTCCATCTTCCATCCATCCCCAGCCTCACGCGGGACAATGGGCTCATTTACCATCCCGATCTTGAATCTCTGAAACTGACGGTGTGGAGCAGACCTGGGCAAAATGAGGCCCGCGACTGCAGCGGTTCTTCTTGGGGTTGTGGAGGAGGTTAATAAAATATATAAATTAAAAAATAAAAGGGGAAGGAGAAAGAAAGAAGGGAAACCATTTCCTGAGGAGCCGGGCAGGGTGGGAGGTGGGAGGGTGGGGGTCAAAATTACTCTGCCGCCCAAGGCGCCACCCTTATGGATGCACTTTCTCTCTAGGCAGTAAGCCTCTGAGCATCCAGAATGATACAAATTGAGCTTGAAACATTTTTAAAACTTAATGAAAACTGAGAGGGAAGAGAAGTACTGACGCGTGAGACACACCTGTGTTGTTTTGCTTTTGGATTTGTGGTATTTTTTGTTGTGTTTTTTTTTGCAGTCCCAGCAAACATCACTTTTTAATTTTATTTTTAAGTAACACAGTTCAGATTTTTCATGTGGCCCCCTATAGAAATTAATTGCCCACCCCTGGTGTGGAGGATTCTCCCTTAATAAGGGATATACTTGACAGGGCTTGAAAACCATCAACAAAGATCCTTTACCTACATAAATGGAGAGTATTCCTATCCTTTGTCAATTCTAAAAACTTACCTGCGGTACCACTTTCACTGAAGACTCTGCTGACCTTTATACTCCATCTTTTCTATCTTGGATTGGCCCATTCTACTTTGAAAGTTTATATTGCAGCAGTGGTCGCGTACCAACCATCTCATTCAGAAGCAGCTAAACTTTCATCCGACTTTGAAAAAAATCCTTAAGGGACTTCGCAATATCCATCCTCCACATCACCCTTCTCTTCCCCAATGTTCGTTACAGCTTGTCCTTAACTCATTAACCCGACCTCCCTTTGAACCGATGTCTACTACTAACCTCAAACTGCTTTTCTTGAAAACATCATTCTTAGTAGCCATAACGTCGGCTAAATGTGCTAATGAACTGGCAGCTCTTAGATCAGATCCACCATTTCTGCAGTTCCATCTGGACAAGGTCATCTATACCCAGATGTTTCATTCTTACCTAAGGTCACATCTGATTTTCATCTTAATCAACCTATAATACTGTCTACCCTGTTTACATTGACAGAACCAAATTGTTTCGGAAAGTATCAAGGCTCTTCCTATGTTTTCATGGCTTTGCCTCAAACGTTGGCTAGGTGGATTGTTCAAACAATTTCACGGGCATATGAACTGGCAGGCAAAACACCACCTGAACCCTTGAAGGCTCACTCGACTAGAGCACTGTCTACCTCCACTGCCTTCCAATGAGGAATAGACATCCCTCACATCCGCTGTGCAGCTACATGGTCCAATCCATCAATGTTTGTCACACATTACCATTTGGATGTCAAGGCAAAGAAAGATGCTGCTTTCGGCAGAGTTGTATTGACTTCCTTTCTATCGTGACGTCCCACCATCCCGTAAGTGAGCTTACCAGTCACCCAATTGTGTGCATTCACAGAGGCCACAAAGAAGAAAGAGAGGTTACTTACCTGTAACCATGGTTCTTCTAGCGGTCTTCTGTGAATTCACACATCCCGCCTTGCCTCACCTCTGTCCATCACGTTGTCCTCTTATATAGCTCTTTGACAGCGGTGGACTCTTTTGGGAACTGAGGGGACTTTGGTGGGTGGAGCATGCACTCCACGAGGGAACATCCCACTAATCACATGTCTTTAACCTCTAGAAACTTCCAAGAGGTCCTGCGCAGGCGCAGAACAACCCAATTGTGTGAATTCACAGAAGACCACTAGAAGAACCATGGTTACAGGTAAGTAACCTCTTTTTTGTTTAATTGAGAAGCCACATAGAGGTTCCAGTGGATTTTCTTAAAATGTGTGCTCTTTGCCATTTAAAAGTTGACCTGAATTTTGAAATTGTTTGTTCAGTATGTGTGTGTGTCTGTGTATGTATGTGTGCGTATTTATAGGTTTGTGTGTGTGTCCGTACCTGTTCCATGCATGCGTGCTCCATTGTCTGGCTTATAATTTATTAAATGTCAGTAAAATCTAAATAAAAGAACAGAAAACAGGAATCCTTTTAAAGTTCAATCTAGCTTGGAAGCATCAATGGTTTTATTGTTTCTGTTTATTGTTATTGTTTTTGTTTAACAACAAAACTGACTCATAATTAAACTGGAAAAATGACCTCCTTGTGTTCCAGACAGACAGATTGTTCCAAGCATTGAAAAGCAAATTAAGACTAGACTTTCCAAAGTCAACAGTGTGACTGTTGGAGTCAAGATTGGCATGAAGCCTTGTCACAGTATGTCTGCTGTTTCTCCTCAGCTTGAGAATGCATTAACTAAGTACTTAACATTTTTATTCCCATAAATGTTAGGTATCTGGTAACTTAAATGTGTTAAGTTATGAATGCCCAGTATCTTCCTGACCACTAAATGTAGTGCCAGATTCAAGTATTGTAGTACCTATATTTGCACAGTGTCCACATGACCTATATAAAGATCATCCATTGTATCTGAGACCCATTTGCTGGAATGTGTAATTGCAATGCCTGTGAAATTGTATTGGGCTATGAGTTGTTTTAAATATTTCCACCCCCCCATTAATTACTTTTTTCTTCATATTTTTCTTTTATGAATTCTTTTGTTATTGAAACTATTTTTTAATCTCCATAATTTAGAACAAATTATTCAAACAAATTTCCAGCACCTTCTTAGCAAGCTACTAGAAACATCTAATTGCTTCAGATGCTGTTTGGCTGAGAATATTGGCCAGAATCCTTTTTGTTTTTACCATGCATCCATTAGTTTGTTGTGCATGTGTGTTCTTCCCTTGCATTTGCACAATGAGATATTCTCTAGCAGAACAGATTTAATATGTTAATGTTTGCATTGTTGCTTTTGCATTGGACAAGAGGAACGTATTTAATGTTACAAAAATAACATTTTGAAAATAATGTTAAAACATTACATTTTGTAAAGTATAATACTTTACAGTATTGTAAAGTAGTAATGTGAATACATTAAATGAACACATTATTTCCAAGATCTGCCTGCATCAGCTCATGTGCCTGCAAACTGGACACCTGTGGACCTTTACACTGCCTGTTACCCTAACGGATCACTGGCCATTCTATTTTAAATGCTGGACAGCAGCAACTACCTTAGAAGAGATACAAGAACACAACAGTATTGTTCAATGTAGTTATGAGGCATTCCAGAATTGGTGATGAGAAATGTATTGCACCATCCTCTTAGTTTTTCCTTTTTCCTCAGTTTTTCTGATGAAAATCTCTGTGGGACTAGAAATTTGCTGGTTGAATTTTAAATTAAGTCAGTGGATAGTGAAATAAAATCACCTCTTTCTGGTTCTTTTGCTTTTCCTCCACAAGGTATTTCTTATTGCACTGGGCGGTGGGGGAGGACAGCATTTGCAAAAAATATTGCTCAGTTACTAGCAGCCTAGGTCAGAAGTATTTTCAAAACATATTGACCGCCTGTTTGAGGATTCTGAAAATTTAGGATCACTATTATTCTAATATTTCTCCTTCACCTCCTCAAATCCATAATAAACAAGAATGGGGATCTTCCTGCTTCAAGACAGAGTTCCCTGGACTTCTGTAATTTTTTTTATTGGGGGATAAGATATATTTAACTTCTTTTGAAAAGTTATTTTTGTCACCAAAGTATATGTGTATTTGGGCCAAGGGGACAGGGAAATATAAAAACAATAACAATTCGTCTTACTTGGCAAACGCTTCTTTGGCTTCATCTGAAGTCCATTACATTTTCTTCAAAAGCAAACTATTTTTTGAGATTTAGAGTTTTTCTTATAAAGTTGACTACTTTAGCATTCTGTTAAATTGGATTATATATTTCACAACTTGTTGGCTCTCTTTTGGGATCCTTATTTTCCTGCAGAAGGATCTGTGCATGTACTGTTTGCATGTGTGGCCCCTTTGCATAGAATGTATGTGTGGGGAGTGGGTGCACGCATAGACACAAGAGAGTTGTGTGTAATAGCAGGGATAAAGTGATCAAAACAACTTTTGTGGGCATTACCGAATGTGTGGACTTTTTAAAATAGCAAACCTAAATGCAAAACCAAAATTAATCCTTAGTAAAACTTAACTGGTTGCCAGTTGCAAAGTCTCGTATTATTTTAATGATGGCATTCCAAGGTTTATTCTTCAGTATGTCAAACATTGATACCATAAACCCTTTGGAAAGTGTTGTTATTATTAGTAGATCTTCCAGTAGAACAGGCTAGCCCATTGCTCTTAATGTAGTTCATCTTTTAATTACATTAAGCTTTTCAAGTTTTTTTCATGAATACATGTTGAAAGGAAGGATCGTTTTATCATATTTTTATACAGTGATGCCCCGCTTGACGATTACCTCGTTAGATAAGGAAATCGCTTAACGAGTATTTTGCGATCGCAAAACGATGTTTTAATAGGAAAAAATCACTTGACAATGATTTGTTCCCTGCTTCGGGAACTGATTTTTCGCTTTATGACGATCAAAACAGCTGATCGTCGGGTTTCAAAATGGCTGCCCGCTGTTTAAAAATGGCTCCCCGCTGTGTTTAGGAAGGCTTTTTCGCTATACAGGCACCAGAAAATGGCTGTCCTATGGAGGATCTTTCCTGGCCACTGAGGTATTTCACCCATTGGAATGCATTGAACCGGTTTTCAATGCATTTCAATGGTTTTTTTTTTTTTTACTTTCGCTTGACAATTTCGTTCTACAGCTATTTTGTTGGAACGGATTATCCCCGTCAAGCGAGGCACCACTGTATTCCTTTCAATGAAAGTTTAAATTTTTGTTGAGAGAGAACTGCCAGGGCCCCTAGTATGTGCTGCTGTTAATTGTTCTAATTAACAAAAGGGAAAGCAATGTGTGTACATATATTTATATATGTGTGTGTGTGTGTGTGTGTATACAGAAAAACAACTAAAGAAATTATTCCATAAACTCAAATCTGTAATTCATTGCCTTAAAACTTTCTCTTAATTTTCCATACAGCATGCCAAACAAATTTTAAAAAGTGGCTTTTAAAAAAAATGTATAGTAGACCAATGTCAGTTTGTATAAAAGTAAGCAGTGAAAATATTTATTACATGCATTGGGAAAATTTGGTTTACCCTATTGAATGTTACTTGTTTATGTAAAATATAGGTGTAATAAAAAGCATTATTACATTGTCTCTTCTGGATACATGTTGCCAAGTACGCACTGTGTAAGAAAAACTACTTTTGCAGCATTTAAAAGGGATGCTCACAAAGAGGCCTTTGCTCTCCAACTCATTTGTGGTTGCCTATCCAATTTGTAGGGTGTACTTTGGCTTGTCACCAACCAAATGTCATTGCACGCATGGATATGTGAATCTGTTTGTGCTGATGCTGCCAGTGTTCTTACATATGTTCTTTGCATTGCTCTAATGTTTTTGCATATATAGCCTTAACAACTTACTCGGTAATAAGCTGATGGACTGGGTTTTAAATGGCTGCCTCTGACCCGGTGACAGACAGCATGCCGTATATACTCCCTACATTTTCTTGGCCAAATGTCCATATAACAGTACACATGCAGTTGCATTGATTTTTGTTAACCAAACATCTCCAACTTGCTGAAACAGAAGAGTTTTGAAATGGTTAATCAGCCCTGGCATCACCTTTGGAAGGATTACCTGTTGTACAGTTTCAAATAATTAAGAGTCTCAGAAGGCAAAACATTTGTTTTTTTTAATGCAAGTAAACAGTATATGAGCAAGTTTCAAAAGTGCCCAAAAGAATGCTGCAAGCCACTGTAGTTTATTTATGCATTTATTTGAAGTATTTTTACCCCACCTTCCTCCTTTAAAGGGACCCTTCATTAAAATACAATATTTGAAGTAACAATGGTGAGTAGTTTCCATCATCTCAGTTCTTTCCTAATTCAGTAGTCAGGAACAGGAAGAGTGATTGATCGAACTAGGTCTTCATACTTTACTATTCCATTGTGTCCCACGTTGGCATCCTTTAAAAGGTTATCCACTGTAAACAATTACAAGTAGTTCAGCCTCTGCAGTTTACCTGAGTTTGAGATATTTTGTATGTCTTTTATGTGGGATTTTAAATCCATGTTACAGTAGAAAGGAGTAATGGTAACAATATTTTTTTAAGATGATAGAAGCCTTTCTGTTCAAAGCAGGAACTCTTGGAGAGGATTGTGGCAGAGGTGTATCCTTTGCATGCAAAAGGGCTAGAGCTCAATTTTGGTTTTACGAGGTCAGGCTTGGAAAGATCCCTTTCTTAACAGGAGAGTCTGACTGAGCTAAGTGGCCCTGTTAGAGCAGAGGTAGACAGCCTCCTGAGGTCTCTGTTCTGCATATGTCCGCCTCCCAATCGTTTTTTCTTGAAAAAGACTAAAAAAAATATGGACAAACCTTCTTAATGGTCATTTTAAAAAATTACAAAATGACGGGTAGCAGGGTTGGTGGAGCCCTGAAGCTTGGCAAAAGTGCCCCAAGACACAGTACAAATCACAAGGGAAATTTTTAAACAAAAACATAATTTATAAAATATTTTTGAAATATTTGGTGGCTAGGGACCTCTAGGAGACCTCACATGGTCCATGACCTGTACTTTTTAAAAATGTTTATGGTACAGCAGTCAGATAAAATGACTTCAGGAAGAGGGATGAGCTTGGTTAATAAACACACTCTTTGCACAAAACACATTGTCTGTTCTCTCTACTTTTCATCTAACTGGAGCCCAGAAGGGATTCCCTCAGCCTCTGTTTCATATACCCACACTGTGTATTTCAGGTGCCCCACACTTTGATACTGATGTTGCCCATGCTCAGGGAAACCAATAAAGATGGTGCCACTTGTAAGAGGAATAATTCTTCCCTTAGAGCAGTTGTAGCATTTTAGATGTTTTGGTCCAACTCACAGCAATCCTGTTGCCGCCTCTAATGGGAGTTGTAATCCAAAATATCTAATACTAAATTCTTCCTGCCCAAGTGCAGAGAAATATGTTCAAAACGGGAAGGCAGGCCATACCCACAGCCAAAGTCTAGATTAGTCTCCTCCCTCACCTGAAAAATTTATCCAAGGATCCCATCAAAGAGCCATTGGCAGAAGACTTACCCTCTTCCCTGGACATCTTTTCTCCTAGGTTCATCAGTTTTGCCCTTAGTTCTGCCACTGTGATGAATCCAGTCTTCTGTTTGTCAGCCATTAACATGGCTAGGAGGATTTCATTCTTAGGATCTTCTTGCTGCATTTGCTTGTACATGATGTTAAGAAAAGTTGAAAAGTCCAGTTCTGCATTAGTGTCTGAAAACAAAAGAAATGAATGGCTTACAATATGTGGCAGAATTATCACCTCCCTCCACCTGGGTCATATTGGACACATGTTCCTGCTGCTATGTTGGATTAAAGAGCAGCCACCTTATTCCAAATATCTTTTCCCACTGTGGCCACAAGAAGATGCATTCGGCAAGCCAACAAGCTGGATGTGACAGTAACTGCTGTGTTTACTCCCCAGATGTTAGTATTAGTGATGCACAGACTGTTACTTCAACATTGTTGACAGACTTCTGTAATCTCTTTTTAAATCTTATATAAACTACAGTAGAACTAACTCACACCCCAGACTTTAAATGGTTTATTTGTTGTGTGAACATTTGAATTAACTTTTTTAGAGAAATACCTGTCTTTAACAGTTTTATGAATATATTAACCTCCCCCCCATTTTCCCCAAAGCAAACCCACTTTTTTAAACATTTTAATAGCCTTTCTTCTATTCCACCTCTGACAATTTTATTTCCCCTTTTCCTATATATTTTTAGTATACGAAATATTTATTTAGATGAGGGTGATTCCAACCACATGATACAAGTATTTAAATACACACACTAACTGGTTGAAAGCAGCTATGAGCTAAAAGTATACTTGGCAAATGTCTGCCATGAAAATGTTGAGATATTCATGTGTAATTTTTTCTCACTCCACAAGATATTGTTTATGACTGAATATGTGATTTTTAATTATGAAAACTTGTGTTAGTGGTCTAAATAAAGCTATTGCCTCCTACATTTGTATTGCATAAAGCAGGGGTCCCGAACCCCCCTGTCCATGGCCCAGTACCAGTCCGTGGCCTGGGCCGGACCAGGCTGTGGAGACAGATCTCCCACCCACCCCTGCATGCACTCCCCACCGCTCAGCCCCTTCATGGAAACGTGCAAGTGTGTGTGCCCCTGCCCGAGTGCCCCCACCCCTTTGCGCATGCACGAGTGCCTCCTGCTCCTTTGCGCATGCGTGCAGGTGTACATGCCTCAGCGTGAGGACACACCTGCCCCTTCGTGCATGTGCACGAGCATGGGGGCATGCCCTGCCTTTCCCAACTGATCCGCAGTGTTAAAAAAGTTGGGGACCACTGACATACATTCTCATATTTTGTCCACATGGTTATGGAAGCAGTGGTTCAAAATATATGAAAGATAACAACAACATCGTTGTCGTCGTTTAGTTGTGTCCGACTCTTCGTGACCCCATGAACCAGAGCATGCCAGGCCCTCCTGTCTTCCACTGCCTCCCAGAGTTGTGTCAAATTCATATTGGTTGCTTTGCAGGCACTGTCCAGCCATCTCATCCTCGGTCATCCCCTTCTCCTCTTGCCCTCACACTTTCCCAACATCAAGGTCTTTTCCAAGGAGTCTTCTCATGAGATGGCCAAAGTACTGGAGCCTCAGCTTCAGGATGTCCTTCCAGTGAGCACTCAGGGTTGATTTCCTTTAGAAT